TCCAGAACCTTTTGGGGTCTCACATTCCTTTTCATAGTGCAAACTCACACCTCAACTTGACCCTTAGCACACTGAGCTCTTACAGTGCTAAAACAATTCCCTCAAGTCGCTGTCTGACACACAATTCTAATACTCGCACAGACTCAGGTCGGCCTTCCATCGTCCTGGCCCCATTATCCATCTTCAGTCCTTCCACCGCTTTACCCCTACTTGTGAGGTATACAAAACCTCACAAGGCAGATCTTTATTACTACATGCACACAACCTTATAGCCACGAGCCTCAACAACACAAACCCATAGCGGAGTCCTTCAACTGTTTGTTCCTCTATAAGCACCTCTGGACCAATATTACCATCATCTTGACCTTCATCACCACACACAGGGCCTGAGAAACCCAATGCTACTATCCTGCTCCACGTTAATACACAGTGGGCCTTTCTACAGCCCCTTCACTAGCTTGTCTCGGAACTAGGCCGATACCCTAACCCCTATCATTGACCCTCAGGTCCCTCTACATCCTACATTTCCTTCCTTAAGCACACACTAGGCCTCATAATTTACACAACCATAATGCTACATGCTCTGACTCCTGCAAAACTCAGGCCATTAGCAAAGCTCGAGTCTTTCACCACTCTTATCACACATTCCCCAAAGACCGTCCTTATCACCTTGCTCTTTAGCACCCTGAGCACTTCCCCATCCCCAGCTCCCAGGACTGGCCCAGGGCGGGGCCAAGGTCAGGGAGGCCTCAAATGACCCCCGGTCCCGGTGCATTCTGGGAAACTCGCTGGGGGAGGGGACACCTGCCAAGTGAAAAGCCCAGACCCCGGCACCCCCTGGGGTCGGGACCCGCACTACAGAAGTGGCAGCCCCTCCCCCCCGGTCTGGGAGAAGCGCTCACCGGCGGGGGCGCGCGAGCAACCTCAGAGCCGCGGGGCCGGCGCGGCGGCGCCTGGGGCGGCGGCCCGGGAGGAGGCCGCGCGACTTCCTTTTCCTCCAGTTCGCCGCAGGCGCCCGTCCCAGTAGTCTTCGGCCATGGCTGCTGGGCCCGGGCCGCCGCCGGCTGAGGAGGAGGAGGCGGCGGCGGCGGCGGTGGCTGAGGCGGAGGCGGCGTCCCGCTCAGCCGGCCATGAGCTTGGCCGCTGTGGGCGATGCCCCCGGGCTCATTGGGGTCCGCTCGGAACTGAGCGCTCACGGCGGCTTGCGGCTCAGCGCCAACTGCTCGCGGAGACGCGGCCGATCCCAGGGTAGAACAGCCAACGACCCAACAGCCGCGCGCGCCGCGCTCCACGCATGCGCGCGCACGCGCTAGAAAAGGTGAAGTAGAAAGGAGGGGACTCACCTCGGACTGCATGTACCAAAAGACCCGTCTGTAGTGGGAGGGAGCGCGGCCATTGCGCGCCCACAGAGGAGTGTGGCGCTGGCTCTGGAACGGCGCCAGGGAGAAAGAGGTGGTTTAATATTGTTTCGATCCCGCCAGACGTTTGCTAATGCCGAGGTGAGCAGCAATCAGTAGCTAGGCGTGCCAGTCACCACTCGCTCCCCCCACTCGATTTCATTTGGTACATCCCCATGATGGCAAACGGGACTTTTGCAAGGAGGAAAATGACCGATGAGGCAATCAGTTGTAGTCTCCTGAAGTGCCTCGAAAGGCAGGAATTATAAAGGTTTGAGAAATGACTTTTCTCAGAGAGGTGGCCTAGATAATCATTGGCCTTTGCTACCTTAGCTAGGACAGTCTAGCCCCGCCCTAACGTACCCCTCCACCGCTAGATCCTTCCCACCATGAAAGTGTGTGGCCCCGCCTTTTAGGGTTGTCGCGGAGCCAATCGTATTTGCTCTCTGTGGTGAAGCAGAGCAAGAATGAAGGGCGTGGCTGAGCTGGAGGAGGATTTTGCTTTCCTCCCTTCCCTCCCCACCCCCCGCCTCCGCTCGATTTTTATTGGTTTTCACTATCAGAGAGTGGAGGGGGGGGGTCTTTTTGTTCTGAGCTGAATATTTCACAAAGTGATTGGCCTAAAGAACGTTCAACCAGTCTCCGTCCCGCCCTTAACCCTTCCCATGGGCTCCAGCAGCCCTCTTGAGGTGGAGCCTAGGGTTAGAGGAAAGGCGGATCTTCGGAGCGGCGGACCTCGCTACTGCGCAGGCTTGAGGTTTTGGGTGGGGTGGGGGTCGCTTCCCGACTCCTGCGCCTATTTGCGAACGCACCTTGAATTAGGTTTCCTGCCGCCTCTGTCCCTCCTTGACCACCATAGCTCGGCCCCGTGGCTCCCCCTTGCTCCGCGGTTCTTAGTATTTGTTGGCATCTGCTGTGTGCCAAACACTCAGGCATACCTAACCCTCTGCCTGCAAAACTACAGTGTCCCCAAGTCCAGCACAAATGGCAACAGCCTTCAACAGGCCTCCTGGGGCTTCCTTAAACGACACTGATTTAAGTTCAAAGGCAGCTTCCTCTGTTTTTCTGAGCTTACCTTTATGGTAGCCTTGTTCACACAGTAGTTTTCAGTAAAGTTCATGTTAGCAAAGGCTCCCATGATGGGAGTGGAGATACTGACAAAAAGACAAGTCTGTCCCATAGCCTAGACCTCATTCCCTAAACTGCTTCCTTTCCAGTCATACTAGCTTCTAACTCCTTAGTGGAAGCAGGCACAATCCAACCTATAGAATCTTGCACTTGATGACTTCCTGGATTACCTCATTAAAAATTTCCTGCCTGGGGACCAGGGAGATGGCTCAGTAGAATAATGCTTCCCTGGCAAGCGCAAGGGCCTGAGTTCAATCCCTGGTTACACACACACACACACACACACACAAAAATTCCTGCTTGTAATCCCATGCCTCAATATTCCGACCTGGCACAATTTTTCATCTTTTGAAGACACTGATCAATCCCCTCTGCCTGTACTAGGGATGGAACCCACAGCCTCACACATGCTAGCAAAGTATGTAACTGGCAAATTGCTGAGTTACAACCCCAGCTCTGATCAGCTTCTAATAATTCCTTGTGTAAACTGGACCTCATCCTAGCAGAACATTAGATCTAGTAAGTGAGCTCATTTGTTTTTTTAATTCACTGCAGTTGCAAATGCTTACAATCATGCCAGGCACACAGCACTAAATGTCTGCTGCCTGAAAAGCAAATAGTCCCAGGTAAAAACAAAGGAGACATCCATATCCCACCCTGTCCTTTGTGTCAGATGGATTCAAAAGGCTCAGTGCAATGACCCAACATCAGCTCGCTTTCTGGCTGAGCCCTATGTAGCTAGTGTTATAAGAGGAAACAAACATAACAAAATGGTATGTGGAGGAGGGATTAAGATGCAGCCAAGAGTGTTGGGGTGACTCAGAAGCTAGTTTTAGTCATGTTTAGTGCATACCGCCTGTAATCCCAACTATACAGGAGGCTGAGACAGGATTGCTAGTTGTAGAAAAGCTTATATAACTTAGCAAAATCCTGTCTCAAAATAAAACAAGGTCTGGGCATCTCCATAGCCCAGTGGTACAGTGCTTGCAAGCTCAAGGACCTAGGTTCAATTCCTAGTGCTGCAAAAGGAGGATGACTCATCACAGGCTCCCAGCACTTGGAAGGCTGAGGCAGGATTACAGTGAGCTTCAAGCCAGCCTGTATTACAAAGCAAGATTCTGTCTCAAAAAAAGAAAAAGTAACTATGGGATAATGAGGTTACCCAAACAAAGCAAGCCAAGAAGTCATGAGGTCAATAAGGGTATTCACTGCATCTGAGGATAGCAGTTGGCCCAGAAGGTACATATGGGGACAGATTCTAATGGGAATTGAGCCAGGATGGGGGACAGGTATTGCTGACACTCAGGTTTAAATGGAGTGAAGGATCCTGTTTGGTTTCTAGCTAGGTGAAGGACAAAAGTATGAATGGATATCATCCTCAGGCACCAGGAGCCAGTACCAATGGAGGAAGGCAAAACTGCAGCAGTGTGTAGCCAGTCTAGAGCTTTCAACTGTTTGGAGCACACAGACAAGATTAAGGATAGTGTGCAGCAAGGCTTGCAGTGAGCCTCTTGCTGCCTGTGCTAACCAATGATTACCTCTCTGTCCCCAGTTAGCTCTCCTCCTGATGCAAGGAGGCCTAAGCACCTTTCAAGGGAAGGACAGGCAGGTCAGTGGCTCACAAGGGCAGGAGGAGCAGGAAAACGGCCTATTCTCCAGATACTCAGCCAAAAACTTCCATAAAAACTGCCAGGTGTGGGCAATCACTCAGAACCCCTCCTGTCTCTCAGGAGCTGTTCCTATTCCCTGTTCTCCCACTCCTATCTCCTTTTCTCCAATAAATTTTCCTACTCAAAAAAAAAAACCAACGGTCAGGTGTGGTGGTGCATGCCTATAACCCCAACACTTTGGTAGGCTGGGGCAGGAGGATCACAAATTTAAGCAAAGCCTAGACAACTTATGTTGACCTTATCTTAAAATTTAAAGAGGGATATAGCTCAGTGTGAAGGTCCTGGGTTCAGTCCCTAATGGGGGAGCTGCAGAGTATGCCTGAAGGCACTGGCACTCCCTAAGCTCCCCAGGGGAGATGAGCTAAGGATGCCAAAGGCATTCCCAACACCAATGGCAATCAAACATCACTGTAAGGGTCTGCCTCATTGCCAAGCCAGGTGGGAAGGGATCTGCCCCAAGGGCATAAGACATGCTGACCATGCCCTGGTTGTGTGCTTGCCACAACTTTCCTCTTCGGTGAGGGTTGGAAGTGGGTTGACAACTACAACACAGGGAAGGCCAGATTCAAGCCCAGCACTAATCAATACTAAAGGAACATGGACCCAAACACCTGCTCTCTATGGATTCACCAGAGCCTCCATGCTTTGCTAAGCAGAGGACAGGAAGAGGTGGCAATTCCCACATTTCCTCTTCCCAGGAATGCGGCAGCTGGGGTGGATCTGAGCCCATGGGGTTACCATCTGAACCAGAAATCTCCAGGAAGCCCCTTTCTTTGCTGGAACTAGCAGAGCAGGCTTTTTTTGGGTTAATACCTTTTTTATTAGGATTCAGGTTCCAAATAAAGGAGAAAAGTGGCAAGAGGGGTTTTGGTAAGGAGTTGATAAAGGAACACCAGGCTTGGCTGGCTGAGCCACTGCCAGAGGTCAAATGGGAACCTGAGGCTGGAAGGGGTCTGAGGGAAGGGGGTAGGGTCAGCCTCCTGGAGTACACAGGGGTCAGCGGATGGTGTATCGAACATAGGGGACTTCGACGTCCTCACCGCTCTCGTCGTTGCAACATAGCTCAAGCACCAGCGCCCGCACATGGCGGCCCAGCTTTCGCTTCGACACACGGCTCACGATTTCTGTCATCCTGGAGACAGGAGTCAGGCAGAGGGTGAGAGATGTACAAAGCAAGAGAGAGAGGTGTCAGGGAAAGAGTAGGTGAAGGACAGTGACAGGAGTGGGAGAGCTGCAATGTGAGCCCCACACCCTCCCCCATTTACACAGAACTCCTTCTCCCATGCCCCTGCAATAACTCACGGCTGATCCAACCGTTCCTTGAGCTTAGCAGCTGGCATGAAGAAGGAATACAGCATGGACACACCCTGGGACAGCATGGTGATCTCTAATTTGTGCTGTGTCTGAGGGAAATGATGGGGAACAGTAGTATCATGGAGTGGACTGGACACTCCATTCCCCCTGGTAGGGTGAAAGTGAGGAAGGGGCTTTACCTTGAAGTAGTCAAGGAACTGTTTGAGGGTCATCTCCTCCCCATTAGGCTGCAGCCCCTGTACCTCAAAGCGATCCCACAACGTCCACTCTTGGTCATAGTACTACAGCAGAAAAAGAACAGGATGGGACTACTTCAGAGGGCAAACCCCACAGTCATGCACACACAGTAAGTTTTGTCCAAAACCCTCTCACAGCCTCCACATCACCTCAAGAAACCATTCAAATCCTCTGATGACACAAAAAGCTTTCCAACACTGAAACCCTAGTCTCATCTCCTACCCCGAATTCTCTTATTTCCTCTGCTTCCGTGGCCTTTTATTGCTCCAACACGCTAGGCATATTTCTACCTCAACACCCTTGCAAGACTGGTCCCAAAGCCTCTATCAAGGCCCACACTGCTCATCCGTTCACCTCCTCCCCATATGAGCTCACACATCAGCTTTTCAGCAAGGCTTTCCTAACCAACTCACATTTGTAGTCCCAAGTCCCTGGCTGGGGTGTAGTTAGTTGGAGAGCATGTGCTTAGTATGCTCAAGCTGCTGGGTTCGGTTCCTCCAGCACCAAATCACATCAAACCCTAAAAACCATCCCCTTGAGCCCTGCTAATCTCAAATTCTCTTTAAAGCTATTTTTGGGGGATTCCAAAGTTATTTACCATGTCATTTATATAACCTATTTGATAAATATAACTTTAGCACTTAAAAGACTACCTGCACATAGTAGATGCTTGATAAATGAATTAGTAGATGAACCAAATATAGCACCCAGCACAGTAAGAATTAAATGTCATGGGGCCAGGGAGATGGCTCAGTGGAATAAGCACTTCCCTAGCAAGTGCAAGGGTCTGAGTTCAATCCCTGGTTCCGCCAAAAAAAAAAAAAAAAGAATTAAATGTCAGCTGCAACCATCATGTAGTTATTAATAACCTGCCAAGGGGAGGTGTGATGCCAGGTGCCAGTAATCCCAGCACTTCTGGGAGGCTGAGGCAGGAAGATCTCAACTTTGAGGCCAATCTGAACAAATTAGCAACCTAGTGAGACTGTTTGCAAATAAGGGAAGGATGGGGAGGGCTGGGAATGTAGCTCAGTGTAAAGGGCCTGGGTCCAGTACCAATACTATCCATCCTTACACACACACACACACACACACACACACACATACACCCCAATACTACCAAGGGCATAATTAAAGTATCTCATCATTTCTTTTTCTTTTTTTTTTAGCAGAACCAGAGATTGACCTCAGACCCTTGCACTTGCCAGGCAAGTGCTTATTCTACTGAACCATCTCCTCGGCCCTCATCATTTCTGATGACTGCCACCACAGGCAAAGAAGCACAGCATACTCTCCACTCAAGTGATTAATGTACAAATGAACAAGGCCTGAAAAGATGTACACTGAAGAAACTCTCACCTGGTGACAGGGTATGATAAAACTAGCCAGCTCTACAGACACACACCCTAACCCACAAACCCACCTCCTGAGGCAGGCTCCTACCTGGTGCCGTGGTGCTGCCAGGGGTTCAGAAAAGCCAAAGAATGGTAGGGCCAAGTTGAGGAACCCATTCTTGTAGGAGTCAAGTTTTCGGTGCCCCTGCACTACCTTGTATAGTTCCAGACACACTAAGCCAACCACAGCAGCTGTGGTTGTGGCAATGGCTGGGATAATCTTCCCTGCAATCAACTTGCTCTGTGAGACAGGAAGGAACCAAGGAAAGTGGTAGTTAAGTGGCAAGAGGTTCAGTATTGATAGAAGGGCATGGGCCAGGTCTAGTGGCATATGCCTGTAATCCCAGCACTAGGGAGGCTGAGGCAGGAGGATCCCTGAAAGTTCAAGGACAACGTAGGCTACAAAGAGAGTTCAAGGGCAGCCTGAACTGCAGAGCAAAACCCTGTCTCTAAAAGACAAAAAAAAGGGATGAATGAAGGGAATCCAAGCCTGGAAGGAGGTGGAATGTCAGACTTAGATTCAATTCACCTTGTGCCGATCCGCAGGGGGAATGTCATAGTTTTCTGCCCGGAGGTTGGATGCAGCCACAATGAAATCCATATGGAAGTTGCTGTCATCATCCTGTTATGAATAAGAGATTGGATCAGATGAGGAAGAGGCTTCCGGGCCCAGGGGACATAAGTATCCTCTACTACAGTTACTCATTGGACTCTCTCAGATCACAGAGAGCTGGGAATATCTACCCACTCAGAGAAGTGTGGTAGGCCCACAATCTCATCACCACAGACACCTGGGACTAGGTCCAGGTCCCCAGAGACCTATTTTCTCCAGTCCTATGGGGATGCTCAGCCCAAACCCCTGCCCTACCCAGGGCCTCTCTCCGCACCTTCTCAAAGTCAATGGGGCACATCTTGAATCCAGGCAGCTTTTCAGGGCTAGGCAGCGTTGCCTTGAGCTCCTCTAGACGGCTGTCATCTGAACAAACAGAAGGACAACATAAGCCCTTTAGATCTAGGCTAAGGTGGGGCAAAATAGTATTCAGAAGGATACGAGATTTGGAAAGAAGACATCGTGGGGGAGCAGAAAAGTAAAGCAAGACAGCAGAGTGCAAACCTAAGAAACAGCAAAAAGCAGAGGAAGAGCAGTAGACAAAATGAGAGGTATAGCTGGAGAATGGTGGAGGATGGCAGAGATATGGGAGAGGACGTGAGATGGGAGAGGGGATAAAAAAAAATAAACAGAGATGAGAAGAAATGCACAGATGTGACAGTGGAGGAAAAGACCTGGAGAGGGAGGGAGGACAGGAAGAGAAAGGGCTTTGATATATACAAACAGGTGGGAGAGAATGTATGAAAAAGATGGGACTGGGCTGGGGAAATGGCTCAGTGGTCTAAAGCACCTACTTAGAACAAGGTTAGCAAAGCACAGGGACCATGGGTCGATACCCCAGCACCACATGCCAGCCAGCCCCGCCCCCTGGTGGGCTGAGCTGGCCACACACACACACACACACACACACACACACACAAATAAATAAATAAATAAATAAATTAAAAAAAAAGAAAAAGAAAAAGATGGGACTACGTGGAGATGAAGGCAAATGTGGAAGGAAAGACTAGAAAAATACAAAAAGAACAGAAAGGGGAAGATATTTTGGAAGACAGGGAGTTACAGATGCATGACAAATATAATAACGGAAGGCAGGTGGATAAACATGTGGACCAGGCACCAGTATGGAGGGCAATGCTGGGGTGAAGATGAAGAGAAACAAGTGGGGTGGGAGAGTACAGATGGGGAGATGAAGATTTGGAAGGACACAGTGGGCAGATATCAATGGAAAGAGACCACTCATAGAGATCACAGTCCCTGGATGAACAGGTCAAGAAAAAACAGAGAAGCCAAACCAAGTCAAATACACAGAGCAAGAGGAACAAACAGCTTGTTTTTCTGAGAGCCAGAAATTAGGAAGGAGATGGGAGGGAGACAATTTGGCCCAAGTAACCCTCTTCATGTGGCAGAGGAAAGGGGGGTGTCAAAGGAAGGCATGGGTCATCTCAGGCCTGGGATCAAAAAGCGGGGTCAGATGAGGCCCTCACCAACAGAGGCATTGGCGCTTTGCAGTTCCTGGTCAGACACATGGATCTTGACACCAGACTTGGGGGTGAACTCGGGGACCTGCACAGACTGTAGGAGTGTGGCCACAGCAGCTCGGTCCTGAGAGCCCATCAGCCCATAGGTCTGGGCAAACAGGTTGGCAGCAGCCATTACATAGTCCAGATGCAGGGGCTGGGGGAAAGCACAGCAGGGCAAGGTGAGCATATCAGTCCTTAAGTGGGGGGCCACCACTTCCTTTCCACCCACTCACCCTCCACTTGACCCTCAGATTCCCAGGGAAGAGACTTACATTGGTGACATCAAAGGTGAGTGGGTGTGGACAGCGTTTGGGCCCAGACCAGAATGGAGCTCCTGAGCTTGTGAGCTAAGAGACACAGCAAACTTTTGAGAAGCAGAACCTGTGAGTAGGCCTCTCTGACAATCCTGACTTATCACCTTGCACCTGGATGTGCCCTGGCTCACTATACCTGGCTGGGCAATCAAAGAACACTAGGGCTGATCACAAAGACCTATCCTATAGTGTCCTATGGATGGACGTTCCAAAGCCAAGATGAACCAGGGACTTGGTTGAGCAAACAGCTTACCAATTCCAGGGCACTTACTCTGAACATCACAGAAAGCTATGTGCTAGACTCTTATGGACTACCAGGAACAGTACTAACTTAAGGGATTTTTTTTATTGTTTTTGGTGCTGAGGACCAAACCCAGGGCTTCTAGCTTACTACGCAAGCATTCTACCACTGAGCCAAATCCCCAGCCCTGGAACAGTACTAACTTAAAAAATAATCAACTGTCATGACACCTCATGAGGTAGATTACCATTGCTCTTAGGTAACAGCTGAGGAAACTGGTGCAGGGAGAAGTGACATATCCAAGCTCAAAGATAGCTGGGATTTGAACACAGACTCCTGTGCTCTTATCTCTAGAATCTTTTTCCTCAAGTTCCTTATAGCCCTGAGGAGGAGTCACATATATCTTCGCCCACATTATAGTAAGGGAAACAAACTATCTCTTACATCTAAGACTAGGGACCAGAACACACATGTCTGGTTTACTCATTTCTCTGAGATCCCCTTACCTCAGGGTACTGGCCAGGGCTGGCCTAGTAAGTAGGAGCAGCCACATGGAAAGCCCTTGGTAGGCTCTGTTGTAGGGAAATACATGTGGCCCAATGGATCCAGCAATGGGCATTACCTGCTCAGGAGGGAAGTTGTGCAGCAGCTGTCGGATGTTGTTGGAGTACTGGGTGTGCCAATGGTGGCAGGCCCAGGTCACACAGTCTGCCCAAGTCTGTGGTCGCTGCAGCACTAGGCTGCGCTGAACAGCCTCCAGCACTTCCAATGGCTGGGTACCTGCCAGCCGCAAAGTCCGCTCCACAAACTTAGGGTCTCTATCAGGAGGTGTAGAGGGCAGAAGGGCAGGATGACATGGCGACACCTAGAAGAGGCTCCAGGGAAATCCCACCTTTTCCATGGAAAACTAGTCCCAACCCCCAACAGTGTGACAGTGGTAGAGAGCAGACTGTATGGCATGGCTGGTGGGCAGGGACGAGGATGAGACAGCATGAGTTACTCACGTAAGGTACTGGTTGACATTTTCTGCTGGCTGCTTGAAGAGACCTTCAAACTCATCTCGAGCCCACTACAGACAGCAAATGGATAACATGGAGTGATAGCTGACAAAACAGGCTTTCTACATCACAAGAAAGCCTAGGCCTGAATAAAGCAAGCAAGAGCTGCTCTGAGAAAGTGGAGGTCCCCAAACTTCCCCCGCTCCTCCTAGTACCTAAATTTAAAAACCAACAAACATGATCTAGGCAGTGACTATACCAGGATTATGCATTAAAAAATTTAGTAAAATGTACTTTAGTGTCCATATGTTGTGCCTTGATAAAAAAGGAAATATATCAGTTAAGTATATTTTACCAACAAATTAAAAAAGAAAAAAAAATTAGACTAAAACCAAAAACATGTTGGAAGTAGTGGCACATGCCTGTAATCCCAGCACTTGGGAGGCTGAGGCCAGAGTTCAAGACCAGCCTGAGCTACAAAGTAACTTCAAGGCCAATCTGAACTGCGTAGTGAGTTTGTCTCAAAAAGACAAACAAAAAGTGACTATTAATTTTTTCTTAGTGACTATTAATTTTTTCTTCATGAAAATGCTGATTCAGTTAGATAGCACTACTCAACTGGGTTTGATGCCCCCCATATACACATCTGCCAAGGTCTGGAGACATTCTAAGGTGTTATAATGGCAAGGGGGCATTATTGACATCAAGTGGATAAACGCCAAGGATGCTGAGAAACATCCTGTAGTACATGGTACAACACCCTCAGGACAAAGAAACACCCAGCCCCAAATGCCAACAGTGCTGAGGTCCGCAGAACTTATTATACGACATTACTTTGCAGAGGCAGACAAAAATAATATGAAATAAAATGTGATACTATGACACAGTCTACCACAAAAAAGAACTATTCATCTAAAAAGAAAATGTGGCAAAACATTAACAATTGTTTCAGCTAGGTAAAAGGTGGTATTTGAATATTCATCACAGTATTCTTTATACTTGTCTATATAATTAGAAAAAAAGAATGAGACAACCTTTGAAGATAAATTAGCAAAAAAATAAAAGAAGATAAATCAGCAGCATGACTGATTTGGCCATGGCTATAAGTCACCTTCAGATAAATATTAATAGTTTTATGATAAAGTCTGAATTGAATTACTTTGCCTGTGTGATGATATATATATATATATATATTGGGAGGGGGGTACCAGGGATAAAATTTGGGACCTTGTGCTTGCCAGGCAGGCGATTAAGCCACTGAGCTATCTCCCTGGCCCCTATGTTCTCATATATTAAAAAAATTTAAAGAAAAAAAAGAATGAGTCACACTAGAAACCAAGGCTGGCAGGTGGGAAGTAGGAGAGGGGAGGTTGGAGAAAAAAGCTGTCTTAGGCTTGCAACACCTGAAGGCCAAGGGCCTGGCAGATTGCTCTCCACCCCCTCCCTGCACTCACCTGAAGGGTATGCTCAATGGCATTGGGAAAATTTTTCAAGGTACAGATGGGGATAGACTTCTCTGGTGGATCCTGGCTGGAGCTGTAGGACTCTGTCAGGAAGGGGATCACCACCTGCACATTGCCTTTGGTGCCCAGCGTGCCTGACTCCAGCAGTGGCTTCCGGTAGTAAACACAGCGTCGGTCCATGTACATGCCTGAGGGCAGAGATGATGATGTGAGAGGGAAAAGAAGACAGGAAGAAGAAAGGAAGACCAGCAGTCCTCATCTACACACAACTTTGCCCCTGATCTCATTTGATTCCAGACTTACGGGCATCTACATTGTCCAAGGCATTGGCCACGCCATCTAAGTTTTGGAAAAAATCATCGTCGTAGATGCGCTCTGTGTCAGGACCCACACGGTTCTGGTGGCTTGTCACCCGGATGTGTGGATTCATCTGGCGCACAGCTGCAGTAGCTGTGTCAGACTTTAATTTCTACAGAGGTGAAACAGTGTAGCTCAGGGTAGGGATGAGGAAAGAGAGCTCAATCATTTGTGCATTCACCAACAAACATGTAGGGCTGTCCACTCAAGGATTTATTTAATGCTGAAGAACTAGGCTGAGTTCAGGAGGCCTCCTGATTTAGCAAGAGAAACATATTATGTCAATGCCACATGACCAGGACTATGACAGATGTGACACCTCAGTGAAAAGGAAAGCAGAGGACAAGTATCACCTGAAAATGGTGCACTTAACATCAGTACTTTTCTTTTGTTGCCTACCCAACACCTATTGCTTTTCAGTTAACAGCACTCAGCTTTGGATTTCCCCAACTCCAACCAGGTGCTGGCACACAGACAAGAAGGGACTTTTCAAAGCTCAAGTCTGGCCACACCCCCTCCTCTTTCCAGAACACACCCCTGGCTCCCATGACCACTTTGGTTAAACTGAGGTGGCACCCAGGACCTCTTCTACAGGACTCCATGGTTATCAGGGTCTGGAAAACTGTTCCCCACTAGAAGAGGACAGTCTAATACCCCTGCCCCCAGAAATTCATGAAAAGGAAGTCTTCCTTAACCACCATAATCAAAGCTATAAGCCAACCTCTCTGGCATGCCCAACTTCCCTTGTTTGCTGTTGTCTTTATAGAGAGCTATAACCAACACTAACTGTATCCCTTACTGTTGCTACATTGTAGCAGTTATTTAAGATCGGCTCTCTCACCAGAAACTATGTTTCTAATGTTTCTCACTCCCCTGAAGACAGAAACTATCTGGTGAATAAATGAATCAGCTAAAAGGGACAAGCAAAAATGACACTGTCCTCTATAGAAGGCTTCCCAGACAGAATCCTTTACAAATCAGTTTTCTCTCTGTAAGAAAAACCCTGGCTGATTAGACTATAATCTTTCTTTCTCCCCCGTCTTTTTGAGACAAGATCTTGCTATACAGTTACAGGCGTGTGCCACCACGCCCAGCAAGACTATAATCTTTAGAAAGGCCTGACTCCAAGGTTGGCCCTCGGCTATAGTCTGGGAATTTGGATTTCTGAAAGATTCCAGTCATTCCCTACCTGGTAACAGTCACTCACTGTGCTTAAACTGTCCATGTAATACTCTAGTATATTTTTGTTTTGTTTGGGAACCGGGGATTGAACTCAGGCCCCTGCACTTGCCAGGCAAGCACTTATTCCACTGAGTCATCTCCCCGGCCCCTAATACTCTAGTTTATGCTGAATACTTTCCTTCTGGGACTCCAGAATTTCTACAGATGAACAGCCAAGTTTCTAACAAGCTTCCCTGGCTGGTATAATAACAAGTATTGTTAAGATATCTTGTTATAACTTGTAACTGGGGAAATTAATGTCCTGTGCAATTCCACTGGGAGTGCACTCTTAGAAACCTGTAGCTACTTCATCCCATGAGCCTTTTCCATTTGCACAATAACTGTGCCTTATGTCCTTTCTCTGTAATAAATCACAGCCACACATATGCTTATTCATCAGGAGTTGTCCTGATGAATTTGTAAGCTTGCAAATGGTTTCTGGATCCCTCTAACATACTGCCCAAACAGCACTGATACAGGGTCAAGGGAAAAAAGGTTGAAAAATCATAGATTCAATGGAAGAGTACTCAATAAGTGTTTGTTGAATGAATGACAGAAACTAAGAAAGAGAAAGACCAATGGCAGCAAAAGGAGCTCTGTCAGAAAAAATGGGAACATGAAAAAAGAGGAAAGTGAGCTGACAAGACTCATGTCCTACCCCTGTCCAACTCACCGTAACATCCCAGGGCCGGAACAGAAACTGTCGGTTCAGATTTGATTTCTCAATGGTATCCATGTCTGTGACAATAATTTCTCCGCCTTCACCACAGCCCAGCCCAATCATGGCAAAGTTCTTGAGCAGTTCACAGCCAATGGCCCCTGCACCCACCTAAGAAGTAGCCAAGAGAGACATTATCAGGGAGTGGTCAGGATGACAAAAGGGTGATGCAAAGCCATCCATCATTCCTCACTCCTCCGGGAGCCAGCAGGAAAGGGGAAGAGAGGCTAGTACCCTATCTGCAGGTCCTAGGGCTTTAAGAAATGACCCACAAGCATCTGAAGAAGGCATCTCGGGGCTATACCAGTTTTTCCTCTGAGGTAATAAAAATGGCAAAGGAGATGTGATACAGGTATAAAACAAAAAACCCTCCCTTGGGACGCAGAAGAGGCAGTCAAGGTGAGATGGTGAACAAAGCAGATGTCCAACAGGGTCACTCACCAGGAAGTACTTCTGTTTGCCCAGCTTCTCTTGCAGATCTGAGCCAAACACAGCCACCTGCCCATCATAACGGTTCTGACGCTGAGGAACAGAAAGGGAAGGAACAGTCAGAGAAGGGATTCCCCAGAAAATGCCCTGGTGCTACCTTCCCAGGCTTCATCTACATACCGGGAGGCACTTCTCCTCTGTGAGGGCCTCTTTGTCCTCTGGAAGACATTCAAGGGCATCAAAATACAGCCACTGCATGATAGGCATGAACTTTCCAGAGCAGGCCTGATGAAGGGGAAGGAGTCAGTGGTTAATCAGGGCTGGATGCAGGCAGGCAGTCAGCAAGTAAGAGTCAAGAGGGGCTCCAGGCCAACCTCTACCCAAACTGACCTTCATGACCTCCTGAGCAGCCAGGCCCCCGATAAATGCATTTATGGGTGCCAGATCCCCAGCAGCCACATAGGCAAGGTTCCGGATGAGGTCCTCATCCAGGCTGTCCTGCTGCACTGCTGGCAGGGCTTCTGCATTCACAGCCTGTGCTAGGGCTACCAGTTTGGTTGCATCCTCCTGGTTGGTCAGAAGTGACAAAGTGAAAACATGTCAGGCCACTCTAGGAGAAGGGAGGGTGGCCAGGTTGTGGCATAGTGGGCTTTGGCACCAAGGACACCTGCCCTGGTAAGCCCGCCACCCACCTACCTCACTGCGGGGTCGAGGGGGCCGGTTGTGCTGAGCACAGAACTGGTGCAGGGCCTGGAAGCCAATGTGCAGCTGGGCAGGGCGAGAATACTTGGCGAAGTCCGTCATAACAAACACAGGCTCTGCCAGCGAGTCTGGCAAGGATTTCTGAGGGGTGGCAGGACATCAGAACCAGAAGGAAGGAGTACAGAGCTCCAAAATATCTAGAAGCACCTGCCACAGCCCACTGCCCCTGTCCCCACACTCACAAAGCTAATCTTCTTAGGTACTTTGACCTGACTGACGATGCCTCCACGGATGTAGTCAGAGAAGTTGGAGGTGTCACAGATGCTGAAGGTATAAGGACCTACAGTAGATGAGCAGGCTGTCAATATACCCACCCTCTCTAAAATCCAAGACACCTAAAAAATAAGAAAATATCCCTGACCCAACTCAGACCTAAGAGCCATCTCTTCTCCATGTGGACATCAAAACCAACTCCTCTCCGCTCTAGAACTACCTCAAACCCCATGAGACTCTATGTCCCTGGTCCCAAGTCTAAACTGGAAGACCTCTGCTCTTATCCAAATTGGCTTGGACACAAGGGTCTCAATCCTCTGATCTTTCTGTTCCAATCCCAGAGGGCTTTTCCTCCTCAAGCCAGATACACAGGGGCCCATTCTCCCAGAAGCAACTCCAACTCGATTCAGCTCCCCTTCCCTAGGTCCACTTGCTCTGGTGGGAGCCCAGGACGTTCTGTCTCTGATTCATCTCGAACACTCAGGATATGTCTCCACCTAAGGATTCTAGACTCAAGGACGGGTTCTCCTAACATCAAACCCCTAGCCAGCTCTCTCCTGGTGCTCCCATAGCAAGAGCTCACCCAGCACTTTGATCTCTATGGGCTGATTTCCGTTGAGCTCATTCATGCCCTGTACTTCGGAAAAGGACACAAAATCACCACTCTCAAACCCATGTCGGGCTTCATCCAGGCAGGTAACCACTCCAGGGTTGTCCTGGTTAAAGAAGAGTGAGCTTCAGAGGCAAGTTCAGGGAACCAGAAGTAGACAGAGAGGACTACCACTGGCCAGCTGCCTGCCCAGATCCCTGAGGCTGGTCTTCCTCACCTTGGTGACCATAGAAACCATAGCACTGAGTGGCTGTTCCCCATTGGAATCTGTAAGAACCATTTCCTCTCCAAAGTCACAGAAAAGTTGCCTGTAGAGAGACAATAGGACCAATGCCCATGGCCCATGTACACAGGCCTCATGTGTCCTTCTAGGGACAGTGGACACAGCTGAGCATATTTAGCCCATCATTACTGGGATCAGACATGCTCAGGCCACACAAGAATGAACACAAGGAATCCAAAATCAGAGTGGACTGAGAAAGGATGAGGGTAGTGACAGCCTGGGGTGGGATGGAGGGATCTGTCTGGGTCTAAGAGTGGCAGAAAAGGGGACAGGGGTAGCACTCACCCAAATAAGCCTCGAGTGTCTGCCACCACAAGCTTGATGCCACTGCTATGACAGAACTTTCCCACTCGCACCTGGTCCTCCAGGGGGCTATTGGTGAGGACTACCACCTATTGAAGCAAGAAGCACAGCTTTAGTATAGCTATAGGCCAGGCACTGAGGAAAATGACTTTCGGGGCTAGTTCTCTTTCGTGGCAATCTTCTGTGGGTTCAACTAGCAAGGGTGAAACATAATGAAGTTTCCAGACCATGTCAGGAAAGCTGAAGTAGCTAGATACAGATTCTACAGAATAGCTGACTCACCTATTTGCTAAACACCCACTGCTGCCTGCCCACAGCCCCACTATACCCTTCGAGACACACTGAGGAAGTAGGACTCTGTCTCCAGCCAAAGCCTGAGCTCACTCTTACCACACCCACCTGCTCCTACTTCTCAAGACAATGCCTGCTCAGTAGGTCTCTGCAATTCTGCACTCAGCCTGAATGCCCATCTCTGTCCACCATGGCAAGCTCCCATTGCTGCATGAGGATGTAGTCGTGGTGCCCTGGCCCTCTGGGACCCCTAGGGCAAAAATCTCAGCTCCCACAGCCCTTTTTTAACCTGAAAGTTTTAATTAGCAAACACCCATATAGTATTTACTGTGGCAGCTGCTATTCTGTAGAATTATGCCCAGTCTGCAAATAGGAACATCAAGGCACAGGGTCAAAGTGTCCGGCCTTAAGTCACATTAGGAGAGCCAGTGGCTCTCAGCAGGGCAGAGCAAACCAGCACATGCGCTGGTGCCTCCTATGCTGCCTTGTTGATATGCATACCTCTTCCCCTGATAAAGCAGGGCCCAGTTATCTCCCTGCCTGCATCCTCTAGGTATCCCAGCATGAACCTTGGCAACCAAACCAGCAGGTTCAATACTAGACAGAAAGGAGAACAGGCACGAGGCTGGGTGGTGCTCCAAGTACCTGGAAGCCACTAAGGAAGTTCTCAACGAGGGGCCCAGTGTAGGCAGTAACAGGCACATAGCTGTTGAGCTCAGCAAGGCGGGGCTGGGTCACCTCAGCCCTGTTTTTACCGATGTCCTCCTCTCGTAGGTAGAACTGCAAAGGAGGGGAGAAGCAGGGAAGGAGTGAAGTAGCTGTGGTACATGGAGGGGTGTATGCCACAGCAGGGACAAGTGGCAAGGAAGAGGTACCTGGGAGGAAAGGTCAGCCCACTGGGCAGTGCCCTGGTCATGTAGAGTGACAGCTTTGACTCCACCAAGGATGATGTTCTTAGCAATTTCTACTCCTAGGCCCCGCAGGCCTGAGACCAGGACACTGGATGTCTGCAGTCGCTTCATTGCCTCATGGCCCAACACATACCTGCCAAATTAAGAGGTACTCTGGGTCAGGGTCTGGTCCACCCAACCCTAGTGCTATTCTCTTCTGAGGGCCCCCTCTCAGCCCAGCCAGGCCTTTGCCCCACTTACAGCTGCCGGGAGTAAAGGCCCTCATCTATGTCTGCTTCACTGCCGTTCCTTGCCATTCCCTGGGGATGGAGGGCCGGGACAGTTTCAGGGCACAGGGCATCAACAGACACACAGGAGCAATAACAAACACTGCCACTCACCACATTTATCAGTCTCTAGGAATAAGACACTCACGTTGGTTGGCACTGAGGGCACTTGGGACAATACGGACTGGGCAGGGGAGCAGTTAGAACCCGGCTTTGGATCAGGCCCCGACACGCGACGTTTCTTGGACAGCGGCGAGCTGGACATCTACAGAGAAAAAGAGGGTTAAAGGTAAGCCTGGGGCATACCGGAATGTATTTCTACCTCTTAATGTGACTATAGGATAAGGAACACTAAAGCATTAACAACCACATTTTGCAGGACAGAAGTGACTTGCCCAGGGTTACACCACTGTCAGAACTAAGATGCTAAGATGTGGGGCCAGGGAGATGGCTCAGTAGAATAAGCGCTTCCCTGGCAAGCGCAAGGGCCTGAGTTCAATCCCCGGTTCCACCAAAAAAAAAAAAAAAAAAAAAAAAAAACTAAGATGTGAACCCCAGTGGTATGGCTTGCAAATTCATGCTATTGACTACTAAGCTATTTGCCTCCCCTAAGCCCAGGATAACACAAGGACTCCAATCCAAAGGGGTGAAAGACACAACTGTATTTGTGGGGAGGTAAGAGGAGGGATGTGGATTCAGATACTTTATTGCTACTCCTTGACAAGTATAGCTTAACCCCTATGTTGCTCTGCTCTTCATCTTTAAAGTACAGCCTACAGTCTGGCTTACCTTCCTTATGGGGATCACCAAGACAAGAAACAACATACTGCTGACTTGGCCCAGAGGACAGCAACACCAAGCAGCCACCTTCCTCATTCTCCTCCCACTTAATCCCAGAAGCAAGAGGGGAGGTAGGGTGCCGGGTAGAAAGAAGCCAAGGCTTGGTCGCTGAGAACCCTGCCCCAGTGGGCCTCAGGGAGTTCTGCAAAGCCCAAACCCCTCAGCGCCACCCAGCTCTGGAAGAAGAACTCAAGCCTACACCAATACCAAAGGCTGCGGGGAGAGAAAAAACACTTCCCAAGACTCATTGCACCAGTGCCCCTTAAACAGGTTTAAGGGTGAGGATCAACACTTTCTGGGAGCCCTCCCTGTGCCAGATGCCAAAGTAAGCATTTTGGGCCTTGTCTGCCCTCAGGATACACCTGTGAGGATTGGACTATTACATGTAATGTCCCCCAGCTCACACAGACATGTTTAGGATGTTTGGCAATCAAGGTTTCCCTGTGTAGAGGCTGAATCAGGACCACACCAGGATAGGATCTACTAAGGCTCAAGCCACTTTCTAGTGTTAAATTTCATCCTCTCTATGGTGCTAACCCTACAAGGCCAAGTTTAGCGTCCTTGCTAGACAAATGAGACAGCCTGAGCTCACAGGGTCACACTTAGGTCGCAGACAGAATACAGCTTGTTGCGGCAGTGAACTCTGGGGGGACAACAGACACACTAGATCCAGATGCTGGAGAACCACAGGACCAGGGTACTTCCCCTCAACCCCAATGCTGCTCAGAGCTAGGCACTTTTGCTTATACCCTAGTTTTCTGTTTACACAACCACTCCTATACTGTGCATTTCCTGATACCCTGTCATACCACATACCACCAGTGTATCTAAGACTCCATCTTGGCACCTGTCACACTTCAGCACTAACCACAATGACAAGGGCTCCCTGCCATCTACTCAAGTGCTTACTGCCTATCAATCACAGGGTAAATGGCTTTGTCCAATCCTAATGATGCCAATGAACTACATAACCCCATGCCCACATTAAACAAAACACAAATGCCCAGATACCACCACTTACCCAGAGTCACATAGCATCAGTTTGCCAAATCTTCCTGTATGCACAGTTAGAATCCAGCTCTGGGCTCAGCCAAGAGGGCTAAGGGATTAATTGCAAAGGGGAGGGCAACAATAGGAGGTAGGAAGTTGGATGGGCCTCCTCAGGCCACCAGGTAAATTACTGAGATGCTAAGAACCAACCTGTACTTGGTGAGTTAAGAGGAAGACAAAGGTAGTTCCCAATTTCAATTTACAGGCTCTCTGAGCAACGTAAGGATCTTATTTCCTCTGAGCCCCATTTACTCCAAGAGCTGGGACAAAAGGAACTGGCCTCAAGGGGTCACTAGGAAGATTAAAGCAGTCAAGGTTTGTGGTCAGAACTCAGGGATAAAAAAAGAACTCAGAGACCTAAAGAGATGAGCTTCTCCCCAAGCACCTGCAAAGGCTTTCATTACAGTTATTTCCTTGCCTTGTCATTGCTTGGTTTCCTGGGATATATCCTTGCCTCACTCCCTCAATCAGCAGTAATCTGGGACAAGAGAGCTCTTTATTATCTAAACTTTTCACCTCTGGACTCTAGTGCTGTTGGCAGCAAGGATCTAAACAAGTTTGGGGTAACTGCTCAAAGGTGGATTTTGATTGCCAAGATTTGAAGTAACTCTGTTTAAAGGCAAGCAGGTGTCTCAGATAAACACTGAACAAACCTGGATAGGAGCTAAACATCCCCCATGCCCCATGGAGCAGAGGAGGGAACTATACATTTTTCCTCAAATCATGATCAGGTCTCTACTAGAACATGGATTCTGTGAATTGGTTGGCAAAGCTGAACTGGGGCTCAGAATATTTCAAAACTTACCTGGGGTCTCAAACTGATGGTGAAGTCTAAGCATGCTCCACCCAAAAAAACATGGGAGGAGTCCTGGCATAGGTTTGAGAGGGAGGCAGGTACAAGGCCAAGAGCTAAGGATAGAAAAGCCAGGGCACAGAGAATGGAAGCTGGGGTACGGCAAGGATCCTGGGAAGGGTTAACTGAGAAGACCTTAGGTATGTTAACATCAGGGACGCAGGCAATGGATGTCTGAGCCCAAGGTGCTTGGAGGGAGATGGGAAAGATGTTATCAGCCCCAGTTGGTGGACAGCAAGGCCTGGGTATCAGTAAAGACTCAAATCTCCATGTTTGGAAAAGGATTCTTTGGGAGAAGCCCTCAGAGGCTGTGAGGAGACAGATCAGTTACTGGGAGAAGCTCTATAGAACTCAAGGATGCTGCAGGAAGATGGTTGTGGTCTAGCAAGGAAGAGTACTGTCCATCAGGAAGATGGTGGGACCTGGAAGTAGGGGTCCTCCAAGGACAAATGCAGATGGCAGAAAAAAACCTTTCACCAAAAGTCATATGGATTCACAGGAAGACAAGTATCTCTAACACTGATGCTAGATACAAGAAGCTGGGAAAATAGCCGCTGGGGGAAAGTAGCTGGAGGAAGTAGCCTCTGGGAATTTGGGAGAAATCCTAAAGGACACACCCTAGGGGACATATTTCTAATGTAAGATAAAGATTCTGTGGATTTCTGACAGGGCATGCAAAGCACCACAGCTGTTCTGATGGAGTGGAGAAGAAGAGCCCAGATAGTTTAAGGCTTAAAAAGGTTAGTAAGCAAACACTGGCTAGGTCTCCAAGTGGATTGGGTTTCTCTGACCAATTATGTTTGACCTCACAGAAGCTCTGAGTAGACGCTGAGAAGACGGTTTTCTACTTTGATGGAGGAGAAGTAGGGCCAGTTCGGGGATGGACATCTGACAATGATACTGGGGTTCTGAGGCTGATAACAGGAGCTAGGGAGCTTTAAAGGATCTGGCAGCAGATTCTGAGGCCTGATGTGAAATTAAGAGATCTGTAAAAAGAGAACCTTATAACCCTGTTTATTTTTGAAGACAGAGGTGAGGTGTAGGGTGGGGCTAGGGAGGTGGTATCTGGCACAGGGGAGAAGCCAACAGGATCCACCAGAGTAGATACTGGCAGGGGATCTTTAATGCAGGATTATGTGTCCAAATAGCTCCTCTCTGACTTCTGGTCAGAGGTTCTGAAGGAAGATATTGAGGGTTAAAGATGTCTGATGGGGATGATGTTGAAGCCAGCGGAGTAATGTCACAACACTAGAGCATGAAAAAGAAAAAATGCCCTAAAAGAAAGCATCATTAAATGCTGACTGTAGGAACTAAAGCAGTCCCTAATGGTCGGATACTGAGGGGTTCTCTGATGGAGGATGCTAGGTCCAGGGTGGGGCTAGGAGACCTGATATGGGAAGGTCTCAGACAGGCCAGTCACAAATGGCTTTGCACGGGGATCTAATCCCCATGGCAGCTCTGAGGACAGTGTTGAGGGTGATCAGACAGAAAATGCTAAAAAAAAAAAACTGAAGGCCACATAGACCCTCCCTGAGGTCTGGCTCCACTGCAGGAAGATAATGAATAGCTAGGAGGCATTCAGTAGGAGATACTAAAGTAGGTCTTTAATGGCATAAAATGGTAAGGGGCTTTCATCAGAAATGTTAGTCCCAGTGCCTTTTTGGAAGACTAGAGTTTTTATCTGAGATGCAAGATTCGGGATGATTCAGGATGCTGAACCTGTCTCCCTAAGCAGATCTTGGGGGTCTGGCCCCAAGGTCAGATTTCAGAACAAGAGGCAACAGAATGGTCCCAGACTGCAAGTATCAGCCCCACCCCAAGATCTAGCTCCCACCCTCCACTGAACCCTGGTGTTAAGAGTCATCCCTGGCTGCTCACACCCCGAGCACCACCCCACCCTCACGCACAGGGCAAAGCGCTGGCCCAGACCTTTCCAATGCCTCCCAAAACCCCTGCCCTGGCCCAAGTGCTGAGAAAAGCTATTCATTACCAATGCCGGTTCCCCGGGTCTCGCCGCCGCCAACTCCTCAAGGAGCCGAAGCCAAGCCCGGCCGCCACCCTCCTCCTTCTCCTCCTCCCAGCCGCCTGGGCCACCTAGGAACACCGCCTTCTCCGCCCCCGGCGGTAGTGGTATGGTCTTCCCACAACCTCCGTCCCTTCAGCCGCCGACACAAGATGGCGGCGGCGGAGCCTAAGGCCGGAACAAAACATAGGTTCCCACCTCCAAGAACCCGGATGCAAGAGGACCACACCCACTTATGAATCATGTATAAATTTCCTTTTGACTCATTTGGCTAGAAGGGGACCGGCTCCACCTGGTGGCTAATATTACAGTAAGTAGGTAGGAAAACAGGTAAAACAAGAGGCCACGCCCCGTGGAATATGAATAAAGAACAAATTTTTGCAGCCAGGCTGTTATGCAAACCAAGAAAGGACCGCATGTCCAAGTGCATTGATCATGAATTATGCATAAAGTTGGGTAGTTGCTTGACTAACACCAGGCAACCTGAAAGCAGATGTTAAAACATGGCAACCACACCCCACTGCTCATGAATAATCAATGATCTTGCAGCAGTCCGGAAGCCAAGGAGACCAAGGCTACATCTTGTTTATGAATAATGCATGAGACTAGTGGGTTGGAACAAAAGGGACAGGCCCGCCTACTGCTGCATCTAATACTCTGCAAGAAGTGAAATGGGGCTACTGCTGGGAAAGCGCACTCCCCTGGCTCCTGAATAATGAATGATACTACTGCAGTAGCTCAACCTGGAAACTCAGAGAGGTCAAGAAATAGCCCACCCAGCTCATGAATTATTCATGAACCAGAGAGGCCAGAGCCACCCAAGATAGCTCCACCCAGCAAATAGGGATTATGGCACTATACTTAGGGCAACGTGGTTCCGCCTTCCAGTTCCTTAGCAATAAATTATGATCTGATCCGTAGAGCCACAGGGAAAATCCAGGGGGGGCAGAGGTTCCTCCCCCACCCTACTAAGTGCTCAGGCATCAAGGCTCCTTTGGTCCAACCAAATACAGACTCTATATGCTTTTTGCAAGCACCTCGGTTTCCACAACTGTAAAAATGACAGTACTAGAAGTCATCCACCTCAGAGACGAAATACGTTATGAAAATCTGAGACTATGAATCATGATATGAGCCTAAGAACAGTGCTGCCACAGGCACTGTTAAATTTTTAAAATATATACATATAACGTAGTTATATTTACATTAATATAAAATTTATAGGTGAGGATGTAACCAGCCACCAGACAAACCTCGCACTGTGAGAACTGTTTCCCCATCTAGAAATCAGAATAGTCATAGTACTTACCTTATGATGGACGTGGGTTTTTGTCATTGTTCCCCCTACTGAGGAATAAATTCAGAATCCTTACAATGAACCATATTCCTAGGCCTTTTTGTATTTTTTGCTTTGAGAAAGGATCTCACTAAGTTGCCTGGCTTGTTTGTTTTCCAGTTTCTCTGTTGCCTGAATTGGTCTCCTGGTCTCAAGAGATCCTCTCGCCTCAGCTTCCCAAGTAGCTGAGACTATAGGCACACCAATGTGCCCAATGGGAGCAATACTATTAAACTGGGAAAATGACATTATGGCATTTGGTTTAGACTACAGACTCTGAACTTGAACGGGTTTGAATCCCAGCTTTGCCATTCACTGACTGCCTGAACTTAGGCAATTTACTTACCACTCCTGTGTCCTACTTTCCTTATCTATAAAGTGTTGACTATCAACTGAGGCTCTGGATTCATAGCCCATTTTTTATCTCAAAGAAGGTACATGAGGCTAAGATTAATTTACCTTCATCTAGCCACTTTATTAACCCAATTTATCTTTGAAACAGTCCTAGCCTCAGTAGGTAGTCTGGGTTACTGGACTATTACAGAAAGATCAATGCAGGAGACCTCAGGCCTTTGATAGAGACAGGGGTCTTAAATCCCAGAACCTATAAAGAGAAGGCCTCCTGTGGACCATTGGATAGAGGTAAACGCCACGCCCCTTATAAATTATGCAAGAGCCTCTCTAGAAAAGCCTCAGAAAACTCAGGGCGCTACTCACCTTGACTGATTACTGTACGAATAATCAGTAAACTCTGATTTACCCGTCAGACTTTGAAACACCCCTTCAGCACGCCTCTTTGACACATATTTCTCGCGTGAGAAATTCTCAAACCGATACCTCCAGAGGGCCAGGTGCAAAAGAGGCAAAAAATCCGCTCCCCACCATGGCCCCACCCCCTCATGAATAATACATAAAGCCCGGGCCAACTAAGGCCCAGCGGCTTTACGTCTGCTCAGGAAGAGCTTGACGGACCGTCTCTTTCGCAGCCCGAATAGAGGAGATCTGGGCCCCAACCTGCCCAGCCTCGTAGTCCTGAGTATTGTAGAATGTGAGGTCACAAAGGCCACTGGGATCTTCACAATGCCACGTCGGCCCCAAACGTGCCCACTGTCACCAGGTCCCGCGGTGAAACAAGCCCTCAATTCCTGCCTTGACTGTTATTAACCTCAAACTTCTCTCACCTTGGGAAACACTCCAGATTCTGCAAACGGACAGAGTATTCATATACAGACCCTAAGAGCCTCCCCCAACATTCCCCCAAGTCCTGCCCCGAGGGGTGCTCTCCAAAACTGACTCCCAAATCCCACCCCGACCCCAAATGCCATCTAGTAAGGCTCTACTCAAAAGAGCACGCACCCTCTAAATGCTAACCCCGGGGCCCGGAGCCGCCAAATACGCCCATTAGAGGATCCTAAAGTTGGGATAAGAGGAGTGCCCTCCTTCAAATGCTGTCCAGGGAATTGGGGCAAGGTGCTCCAGCTCACCCCCTGTGCCGGGCGGAAGCCTCGCCTTCCTGCTGGAGAGGAGCAGAAGCCACGGGGCAACGGAAGAGCAAACCACCTCGGTCGTGCAAGAAGGACTAGAGTTTGCGCGGAGCTCAGAAGCGCGGGGCCTTAGAGGGCCCCCAGTCTGGGTCGTACCATAGATGCTTTGCCAAGGGGGAGTTTGCCCTTGCCCCTTGGGCCACTGGCGCCCATTTCATACCTAGATACCCCTACAGGTTGTGGTGCATCCCAAACGCGTGAGGCATGCTGGGGGAGGTAGTTCTATCTGCCAATGCTTGGTGCACGTGGTGGGCATCAGCGCCCAGAACATCAGGAAATTAAGTTTGGGCTGAGGATTTCTAGGAGCCCTGCTCCTAGGATGAAACCGGGAAACAGAATATAGTGGTGCCTCCAGAAGAAAAGGCACACCCATCCTACAGATGGAGACACTGAGGCACAGGTGGCCAAAGGAGTTCTTTCCTTGTCCCTTATGGAGCTCAAGAGTTGGGCCAGGTGCTGGGGATTCTTCCTTGCCTTTTTGGAACTAATATTCTCGCCTGAGCTAGACCATAAAACACAACAAATGAGTAAAAAAATCATACTTTCACATACAAATATGCATTATAATAGATATCTTGCAATTATATGATTTTCTTTGTTTTTTGAGACAGGATCTCAAAAATGTAGCTCAGACTGGTTTCATACTCACACGATCTTCCTGCCTCAGCCTATTGAGTGGCTGCTAAAATTATAGGACCGAGCTAGCACGTCGGGCTTATTATTATTATTATTTCTTTCTTTTATTTTGATGGCATCTCACTGTGTTTGCCCAGGCTGGCTTCAAAATTCTGAGTTCAAGCCATCCTCCAGCCTCTGCCTCCGGCTCCGCCCCGCCTCCTCCCTCACCTCTGCCTCTAGAGTAGCTGAGACTATGGCACATGCCACAGACTGGTTTTTTTTTTTCTTTTTTCCTCTCTCTCTTTCATTTCTTTGTTTTCTAGTGTTGATATCAAACGAAGGCCAGGGGTATGCTAGGCAAGTGCTCTACCTACATTCCCACTGATAATATAAATGATAGATAATAAAACACATAATTCTGGGGCTGGGGAGATGGCTCAGTAGAATAAGTGCTTTCCTGGCAAGTACAAGGGCCTGAGTTCAATACCCGGTTCTGGGGGGAAAAAAAAAACTGGATAACTAGTGTCAACATGTAAATACTTTGTATCTAAGACATAATATATATATTATGTCTTAGATATATTGCATATTATTATGTGAAGAAAATATATATGTATACATTTGTTGTTTTTCAGACAGTTTCTCACTGTATGTACCAGTAGTTTAGGCTGGCCTTGCACTCAGTATATAGCCCTGGTGAGCTTTGAACTTGCAGTGATCCTCCTGCCTCAGCCTCCTGAGTGCTTGGATAATTGTGTGCCAGTATGTGAATGTATATTATACACAGTATATTAATAGCTATGTGCTTGGTGTGGTGGTGCACACTTGTAATCCCAGTGCTTTGAAGACTGAGGGAGGAGGATGGTGAGTTCAAGGCCAGCCTGCACTGCATAGTAAAATCCTATTTATATATTGGTATAAATCGTGCATCCTTGACTATGGGGATACTTTATTTTTATTTATATTTGTCGTTTTGAAACAGGGTCTCACTATGCAGCTCAGGCTGGCCTTGAGCTCACTTTGTAGCCCAAGCTGGTCTCAAACTCACAACAATCCTCCTGCCTCAGCCTCCTAGGGATACTTTCTGAGAACTGGATCAGTAGTAACTAGAAATGTTCTGAGTCCCGGACAGTGGCACATGCCTGTAATTCCAGAACTCCAGGAAGCTGAAACAGGAAGCTCATGGGAGTTTTAGCCCAGCCTAGTCATTTTAGCAATTTAGTAAGATGCTGTTTCAAAATAAAGTTTAAAAGGACTGTGGGGTATAGTTCAGTGTTGAAGGTTCTAGGTTCAATCCCTAGCACTGCAAACAATCAATTCATTTTTAAAAACCTGGATGGTATAGCTTACTACACGTGGGCCATATGCTGTAGCCTATTGCTCCTAGGCTATAAACATGTACAGTGTGTTACTGTACTGAATACTCTGTGAAAGTATAACATAATATTTGTGTTCCTTAGTAGAGATACAATAAAAATACTAGAAAGAGGTGGTGTAGCTCAGTGGTAGAGCACTTGACTAACGTGAAAACTCTGGGTTCTAGCTCAGTACCATGAAAACAACCTGCATTTTAGAGTCAGGCATGCAGTGCAGCCGTGCAGTCCCAGATACTTGACAGGCTGACACAGGAGCATCTCTTTAGCTCAGGACTTCAGGAATTCATGGTCACCTTGGGCAACATAGTGAGATGCAATTTAAAAAAACCACATGCACTGGTGCACACCTGTAATCCCAGCACTGAGGATCATCGAGGCAAGAAGTTGCCAAGTTCAAGTCCTGTGTGGGCAACTTAGTGAGGCCATGTCTCAAAATAAGATATAAAAAGGGGTGGAGATGTGGAGGTGTAGCTCAAGGTGAAGGCCCTGGGTTCAATTACCAATACCTAAAGGAATTGGCATTGGTATTGGTATTTGGGATATAGCTACTGTGCCTGCCTAGAGGGAGAGGGAGAAAAAAAGAGGAGGAGAAGAAAGAAAGAAGAGAGAATGAGAGACAAGACAATATATAATGAGGCATAGTAACACATGCCTGTAATTTCAGAACTCTGGGAGGCTGATGCAGAAGAAACAAAAATTCAAGCCCAGCTTGGGCAGTTTAGCAATTTAGCAAAACCCATCTCAATCAATCAATCAATCAATCAATCAATCAATCAATCAATCAAGGGCCGGCCAGATAACTCAGCAGATTAAAGTGCCTGCTTAGGCAGACGAAGGGACCAGGGTTCCATCCCTGGCATGCAATGCTGACCCTGCCCCCAGGGAAATGCTGAGACGGTGATTGAAATTGGGCATAGTGTTACATGCCTGTAATCCCAGCACTTGGGAGGCTGAAAGTAGGAGGATCACTACTGATCTGTGTAGTGAGACCCTGTAGACCCTGTACTTAAAAAAAAAAATCAGTCAAATAGGCTAGGGATATTGCTCAGTGTGAAGGCCCCAGGTCCAATCTCCAGTACTGTAAAACAAAAAATACAACTAAAAACAAAAGCCTATACAATGAGTGACAACTGCCAAATGCTATGTAAAAAAATATAATTGAAGGGAAGTTTATGAGGGCAGATTGCAAGTTTAGACAGTATGATCAAGGAAGGCCTTACTGAGAAGGTGCTATGTGCTATGTAAGCAAAGATGTTTACCACAGCAGACCTCACCCCCAAATCCTGTGTCTCTAGCCTGTTAGTGACTGCCACATGTGTTCACTTGAGATTTATTGATCACCTACTAAATGCAGGGCACTGGGGACACAGGGACCGACTATCCTTGCATCCTTGCAACACTCGAGAACACTCCTCTTTCAGTTGTTTCCTTTATTTTTCCTGCGCTGTGGGTTGAATCCAGGAACACTCTACCTTTAGGGGACATTGTCAGCCCATTTTATTTTTCAATTTGAGAGTGTCTCTCCAAGCTAAATCACCCAGGCTGGCAATCCTGCTGTCTCAGCCTCCTAAGTAGCTGGGATTACAGATGTGCAACATCATGCCCAGTGATAACAGAATTTCAAGCAGCAAGTCATGTAATATAAATATAATTTGGTGGGGGGAGTGGGTACTAGGCATTGGACCCAGGGCTTGGAGCATGCTAGGCAAGCACTTCATCACTGAGCTACACCCCCAGCCCCAAACCTACCTTTTTAGCTTGCTTGCACACTCTTTCTTTTGGTACTGAGGACTGAACCCAGGACTTTTGCTCTGAGCTACATCCCAGCCTTTTTTTTTTCTTTTTTCTTTTTTGAGATGGTTCCATTAAGTCACTAAATTGTCCAGATTATGCTGCCACTTGGGATCCTCCTCCCTCCACTCCTAGAGTGCTAGGATAATTGTTACTGTTTTTTCTTTTTTTTTTCTTTTTTTTTTTTGTCTTTGAAACAGGGTCCCACTAAGCAGCTCAGGCTGGCCTTGAGTTCACTTTGTAGTCCAAGCTGATCTCAAACTCACAACAATCCTCCTGCCTCGGCCTCCTGAGTGCCAGGGTTACAAGTGTGCACACCACACCTAGCCCTCTTTTTTTTTTTTTTTTTTTTTTTTCCTAGCCCTCTTTTTCATCTATATTTGTAGGTTCTGTATTCCTGGGTTTAACCAACTGTGGATGGACAGTATCTCAAGTGTGTGTTTATGTGTGTGTGGGTGGGGAGTTGCATCTGTACTGAGGCTTACAGACCCTATCCTTCCCTGAAGGATACAGTGTTAACAACTTCAACTCATGTTTACATAAAATTCAAATTGTAACCAGTGCTGCAATGTATCTAGAGGCAATTTTTTTTTTCAGGACCGGGGATTGAACTCAGTCCTTTGCACTTGCCAGGGAAGCACTTATTCTACTGAGCTGTCTCTCTGGCCCCTTAGAGGCGATTTAAAGTACACTGGAGTTCTGCCATTTTCCATGCCTCTTGAGCATCTGGGATTTTGGTCTGGGGTGTGCATTCTGGAACCAACACAGCAGATATCAAGAGACTTGTATTGTTATCCTTTTTACTTGTTGAGGTTTGTTTGTTTCGTTTTACATATTTTTTACAGGGTCTCACTCTGCACTAGGACTTGTGATCCTCCTGTTTTCAGCCTCCCCAGCATGGGGATTACAGGAATGCACCACCACTCTCAGACTTGGTCACTGGCTCAGCAAGCCCCAGGGGTGGGGCCGGTGCAGCATGTGGAACGGGGACTGGGGGTCGAACCCTGAGTTTGCCAAAGCAGGCACTTAGTCTGTTAAGCTATCTTGCCAGCTCTTGAGGTTTTGACAGTCTTTTTTCTGAGTTCTGTAAATTTACATAAGATAGAATACTGTTTTATTTTTTGAGACAGGGTCTCGCTATGTAGTGTAGACTGGCCTTGAACTTACTTTATAACCCAGGCTGGCCTCAAACTTGTGGTGATCCTCCTGACTTGTCCCTGAGTGCTGGGATTACAGGAGTGTGCCATCATACCCAGCCAAAATGGTGAGGTTTTAATTATACTCCTTGTTGGATTTTTATATAAGGTATACAACCTGTGACCAACATCTCAGGCTAGAGATAGAACTTTTCTATCATTCCAGAAAGCTATCTCAGAACCCTTCCCAAGGCCGGGGAGATAGCTCAGTAGCATAAGCACCTACCTGGTAAGCATAAGGTCCTGAGTTCTATCCTGGGTACCGAAAAAAAAAAAAAAGAACCCTTCCCAGTGAATCACACCCTCCCCACTCACCCCTGCTCTAATTTCCAACTTCTGATAAGTAGAACTGCATTTTTATTGGTTCTTCTTGTGGTTCTGGGGATTGAACCTAGTGCCTTTGTGCTGAGCTACATCCTCAACAAATTTTTTTTTCAGACAGGGTCTAAGTTGCCCATGCTGGTTCAAACTTGTGACCCTCCTGCCTCAGCCTTCAAGTGTGTGGGGATTACAGGTGTGCATCACCTTGAACAGCTGGCATGTTTGTGACATTCATCCATGTTGATAGTATATCAGCATTTTCTTCCTTTTGTCTTTTGAGGCAGGGCCTCCCAGTGTAGTTCAGACTGGCTTTGAGCTCGCTACATAGCCCAGGCTGGTCTCAAATTCATGACAATGCTCCTGCCTCTGCCTTTAGAGGGCCAGGATTGCAGGTGTGCACCACTAGGTCCTAGTTTTTATTGTTGAGTTGTATTTCATTGAATGAACATAATACAGTTTTCAGCACTCTTGGAACTTTTTTGAGATTTTCAATTTCTGGCTATTATGAATACAGCTGCTATGACTACGCATTCATGTCTTTTTGTTGATATTTTCACTTATGTTTGTTAAATAAAAATGGAATTGCTGGGTCACAGGCTGTTCAACTTCACATCAAAGTTTCCCAGACTGCATATACACTACGATTAGTGAGGCACAAGGGCATCTTGTTATGAGTTTTGGAAGTGGTGCTCTGGGTTAGGGAAGAAAACATAGGGGTCAGCTCAGACAACTGCTTGGACCCTCAAGTTCAGGAGGCTTTTTTGTTCCTATTTCCTCTCCCTCTCCTTTGCCTCCCCCATTCCAGATGAGCACACCCAACCTCTAGGGGCTGCCTTCTTTCTAGTTCTGCCTCCCATAGTGGATACAGATGGTGTCACAATGTATCACCAACTTCTCTTCCAGCTCCTGCATTGCACCCTCCTGTCTTGTGAGCATCCCAGTGACTTCCTGACCTCATTTCAGGGCTCAGCCCTCCAAGGCCTGGAAGAAGGCAGCCCCAGCTTCTTCTACTGAACCTAGTAGTAGACAAGAGAAGTGAAGTACTGTGGTAATAGCTGTGGAGAATGAGAATGAGGGTGGACCTCAACAGCACTTCTGGAGGCATCCTCGGGACCTGGGATCTGTAGGCCAGCTTCCTCCAGCCCTACTCCCTTTGGGTCACCAGCACCTTGAGAGCCCAGAATACCTGTTTTCTCCATAGAAATGCCCAAGGGGATTTCCCCAGCCTTATGGATGGCAAAGCAGTTGTCTTGGGTCTCAGGCTAAATGAAACTAGGGGTCAAAACAGGAGAAAAGGGGCTTCCAGTCCTGACTCTAACCTGGGGGGACTTGAAGCCTGGTGGTACTAGATTTCCTGGTACAGTAGGACCTGTTGAATCTTCATGAAAGAGGGGATCTTGACCTGGATACTGTGGGTTGCAGTGTCGGTCAGAGCCCCACGTTCTGTTAGCCACCATGTGCCAGGAGCTGTGAATATCACCCTGGCCACACATTCTCTGACCTGATAAGGCTTCTTATCCATCTGTGTTTGTGTCCCTGTTATCTGTGTAGCATGTTATGGCATGAGAAAGAAGAGATGCAAGATGTGGGCTTTTCAGCTTTTATTACAAAATGGTCAAGATTCCAGCCTAATTTCCCAACAAAAGTCACCAACTCAAAGCTTGATCGGGTCAGGGCCTCTCTGCCTAGGGAGCAGGCAGGCTGAAAGGAGCAAGGCTTCCCTCAGACCACCCAACATTGCATCCTCCTTTGCCCCCCAATAGACACACATCTGCAGAGGATGCTCTTGCTGTTGCTCACTGGGCCTCATTGAAGCGGGTCACCATTGTCTTGTGCAGTGTCTCCTTGTAGGACTCAGTTGAGGTGACCCCGTAGGAGCTTCCCCTGGCACCCAGGCCAGAGCCCCGCACTCGTGTTTGGGCCTGTGAGAGGAAGACAGGTTCTATCAGGTTGCTGGGGGTGTAGAGGGGAGTGCTGGGGACTGCAGGCTCATACACTCACCTCAATGGGTGTGACAATGCCCTGCTTCTTGCGGCCCAGGCCACTGCCTTCTTTCCAGCCCATGGCTTGGAGCATACGACTGCCAATGTTGTCACTGCCCAGCCCATCCCGGGTGGGCTGCTCAAAGTCACTGCAGGGAGCAATGTGGAGTGTGAATGGGATGTGGAGTGTGAGCACAGGGGTCTGGCCATTACCCCCCACACCCCAATGCTTGCACTTACACAGAGGCTGTGGATATGCCACCATACTTCCTCCTCTTGGGCTCTGGTGGTTCGGGAATGCCGTACTTCTCCCTGCGTTCAGCTGCACGGTCCCGGTATTTCATTTGCTGAAAGATTGCAGATGTGTGTATACATAAGAATGTCAGGCAGCTGACTGTTGTTTTTAGGAACCATGGGCATGGTGGGGTAGGTTCCCATGCACAGCTTGATGTGGCTGATAGATCCCAGGTCTGACATTGTGGGCATAAGAAGCTGAGAGGGGTACCTAGGAAGAGGCCTCACAGGAACAGGATGACTGATGGCTGTAGGGTATCCTTGGCTAAAGATCTTGAAGTCTCCCTCCCTGGGGGCCAGGCAATGAGAAGGGATGGGATGGACGGAACCCAGGAATGGGTCACACTCACCTCCATGTCATTTTTCTCTAGCGCTTCTAGCTCATTTTCTGACAAATGAGCTCGCCGGTGAATCTCAAGGTTTTGCTGCAGGGGAATAAGACCCAGAGTAAGTGGCTGAGCTGGAGCAGACCAGATGGTAGGTTCCCTGACAGTCCTGCCCACAATCACCTTGTGGAGCCCAGAGAGCTGCTGGTGCCGGATGAGTGCTTCCTTGCTGGGGAACTGGCGCCGGCACAGAAGACAGGCCAGTTTCTGCCAGTCTGTGAGCTTCTCCTCTCGCTCAGGACCCCCGCGCTCCTGCTCCTCCTCACTGTCACTCTCCCCGCTGTAGGCTGCCACCAACCCCCGAGGTGGACTCTGTAGAGGGTGAAGGCCGGTCAGGCTCAGGCAGAGCTCCCTGTTGTCCCCTCCTGCTCTGCCACTCCCCCACTCACTGGGCGGTCCTCGCTGGCCAGTTTCTGGAGATCCATGCTGGTGTGTTGTCTCTCAGCTAGCGCTCCCTGGGGTGGGGGACACAGAAATTGAGGGCTCCACAGAGGGTCAAGAGGAACGGAAAGCATGTAGGGCAGAGTGTAAGTGGGGGGCCCCAAAGCACCTTCTTCTCGAGGATGGCATAGCCGGCATCTGCAGTGGCTGACTCCCGCCTTTCATCATCTCGCAGAGAGCTGATGGGCTGGAAGCTGTTTTTGAAGTTTTCTTTTTGCTTGTTGAGACTGCGTGCCCAGCGTTCCATGTCCTTGGCAATCTGGGTGAGACTATGAGGTGAGACTCCCAGGAATGCTCAAATTGCCATGGCCACCACCTTTATCCACTGGCCCCCAGTTCTGGTAGCAGCCCATCTATCTTCCTTCTTGTCCTACAGTCTTTTTTTTTTAATTTTATTTATTTATATGTGTGTGTGTATGTGTGTGTGTGTGGCCAGCTCAGCCCACCAGGGGGCGGGGCTGGCTAGCATGTGATGCTGGGGGATCGAACCTCGGTCCCTGTGCTTTGCTAAGCTTGTTCTAAGTAGGTGCTTTACACCATTGAGCCATCTCACCAGCCCCTCCTCTCCCTTTTTGGTAAAGTTAATATTAATCACATTTATTTTTTTTTTATTTGTGTGTGTGTGTGTGTGTGTGTGTGTGTGTGTGTGTGTGTGGCCAGCTCAGCCCACCAGGGGGCAGGGCTGGCTGGCATGT